TGTGATATGCTAAGAGAAATACAGAGATAATTATTAAATAAGACCTAATTAACATGTTTTAAGTACAAAACGAAAAACATAAATTGTTAAATCACAGATACAGGTAAATTGTGCTTTTATAGAAAAAAAAAACTCAGAAGTGTCCGCCCAGTTAAATATTATCTGCTGGTAATGACGTATATTTCCCAAGAATATATTTGGCCAGCCTTGACAAAACTATTGCAAATTTGCATTTACACATTTATGGTTTGTTTTGAGGGAGTGGGATGAGGCTCTGTCAACCGTGGATTGTGTATGTCGTGCTTCGTGTTAGAGCTGCAGGTCTGTTCAGTGTGGTTTATCTATGTGGTTGGTGGGTTGGGGGGGGGGGCAGAGGTGGTACGGCTCTGTTAGCTTTATGCTGATGGGTGAATGGCGCCAACACCGGGTTTTTCTTAATCATATTTCTCCTCAAATATTCCAGGACCTCAGCCTGTAAAGCTGTTTTTATGAACTTTTCGTGGCGATGCGAATAAAGCTAAGGAAGACCATACACATGCACATAAAATTTCCCAGAGTTTTGTTTGCCCCCAATCTTGGTGCTGGATCTTTGTTAAATCGCTGTGTCTGAAATTTTACTAACTCGTCTGTGTCTGGGCGTGGGATGTCCTTGTACTGTCCTAACCGGCTCATTCCTACCATGGATGCCCATTGTTCACGTGTCTTTTGCTTGAACGTGTCTGGTAAGACAGTGTTTCTGCCTCACTGGTCACAGGCAGTTGGACCATCAAGTCGTAGCTGTTCGTGATACCATTGCAGCCTAAGCATCCCGGGCCTAGTGTAGATCGGTAGATTAGTTATAACCATCTGCAGGAGGATAAAAGCGCACGGGGTGTATGTCGGTGTGTGTCGGGGGGGTGCCCAGCAACCTAAACAACTGCACAAGGGTGTCCCATAAACTAAACAACTGAAGAAGAAAATGGTATAAAAAAGAGAAAGATCTATTAATATCAGCGATTACTAAATAAACAGAAGAAGAAAACCAAGAAGATTTACAACTGCAGCCACGAACACTGGGTGGGACCATGATAATTACTACATGCGAGCCCCAATACGTGAAAACAGTGGAGCAGGGTAAATGGCACTTTAATGTTAACCCCTTCACTGCCTGGCCCTAGACTTTCTCGGACTATCTGGTTGGACTAAACGTAGATGCGAATTCCTGTGTTTCATATATATACATATATTACATTTTTTTAAAGCACATGACTCTCTGTGCTCCATGCCCTTTGGTGTCTGTGTAGGGCCAGGAAAGGGGGTAAGATGGCGGTTTACCCTTTACAAATAAGTCCTCACCCGTTCCCCCAACACTACTCCCCTTTTATCCATCCCCAAGCCAATCCCAAACCTCCCTATCACCTTTTCCCTCAATTCCAACACTAACTTTTTTCACTTACTGGTCTTATTTCTACATAATCTAGATCTTTTTAAAATATCTCTAAAAGTAGGTAATTATTTTTTCTTCATCTTATCCACTAAGTTTGAGTGGTTGAAATAAAAAATAAATGGGGAGGGCGGTGTTTTGTAAGCACAGAGGTCCACGAGATCAGCTCACTATCGTTTACATTGTGGGGTCGATAGTGTTGACGGTTGAGGGGGTGCAGCGACGCAACTAACCACTCACTCGAACAAAAAGGTAGTCTTCAATGAATTCTTATGTCTAATACACTGGGATTTATGAAAGGCAGGAATTCGCTTTTGTTCTTAGATTTGTTCCATGACTCGGATGTGAATTGCATTTATAAGCCACTTGTTATGAAGCTTGAGTACTAGTACTTTGAGGATGACTCATATTAAAATAAGTAATCGGGACTTACATGACGTTCAGTTGCCCTGTGTTTTTTCATGGCGTTTACCCATTTTTCTCGATCTATCTGAGATGGACGTAAGGTAATTGGTACAAACTCTTAAACAACCTTAAAACCATCCAAAGGGCCGCTGAATTTATGGTATGCCATACCATAGATATCTACCATACACAAACCCGATAACCGGCATTGAATAACGTTACTCTGTGTTTATGTTTCATGACTTCTGTATGGTAGTAGTACGGCATGCAAATAATATAGCCATTCGATTTTTGTTGATTCGCGTTTTTTCGCAACCAGCACAGGCTTATAACAGGATTGATTAGACGAAAAATGAAAATAGATTCTGCTAGCATTTCATACATGATAGCCAGGTTTTCGTTTTTAGCTTATTCTAGAACGGGCTTCCGAGCATGCCTGTCAAGACATACATTCCAATAGAAAGAACTAGATTTATGTTTAATAAAAAATTCGCCCCACCCGGGAATCGAACTCGGGTCTCCTACTTGCGAAAGCGAAGCACCGAACTACTGCACCACAGACGCCAGTTTCGATTCCTTAGAAAACGCAGAAATAATCTTGTTATCGTATCACATTGAAGGTAAATGGGTTGATTTATTATTATTTTTTTCTTACCAAAGAAAATGAGCAAGAATTCAGGTCTGATGCCGATTTCACTCCCGCACCTGTGTGGTTTCTTGTTTTCCGTCTTGATTCCTGTTTTATGCTTGAAATCTCTCCTTCCGCAAGATTATCCTTCACCTAAAAATTGTGCTTTTTGCTCCCTATTTTACCTGCAGTCAATGTCTCGTGTAATATGTTGACTGTTTTTCTAGCCATCCCTCTTATCAACGAATCGCTGTTTGTTAACTCAACTTTCTCATGATTATTCTGTCACGTTCTAATTATCACTCTCCCTACTCCTGTTAATAATTATTTCATTTCCGCCCTTAAGTGAGTCAATGAGTTTAATTGTGCCAATTTGTACCCCAGCACACTCTACCTTAACCTTGAACGTATGTGATCTTTGTTTCTCTCTCTCTCTCTCTCTCTCTCTCTCTCTCTCTCTCTCTCTCTCTCTCTCTCTCTCTCTCTCTCTCTCTCTCTCTCTTTCACTATCTCTTGTTCTGTCTAGCTCCCCTCTCTCTCTTTCTGTCTCTCTATCTATCTATCTCTATCAATCTATCTATCTATCTATCTATTTATCTATCTATCTATCTATCTATCTATTTTTCTCTCTTTCTCTCTCTCTCTTTCTCTCTCTCTCTCTCTCTCTCTCTCTCTCTCTCTCTCTCTCTCTCTCTCTCTGTCACATAAGAGAGGGAGAGAGAAAGAAAAAAGAAGAGAGAGAAAGGGGAGAGAGAGAGGGGGGAGAGAGAGAGAGAGAGAGAGAGAGAGAGAGAGAGAGAGGAAGAGAGAAAAACATCTGAAATCACAAGAAACTAAACGATTTAGACGTATGCAAGAAATAACCGAGAAATAACCTGTGACCGTTGGTTTGCGCAATTTTGAGCTCCCCGAAGAGGGTCTTTGTTTTTTTCGGATATATCCAAATTAACTTGACGGGCCCAACTCTTTTACTGCGTTTTCCCCAGAAAGAATTGGAATAAAATAATTGCAGATGAACGATGACAAAAAACAGCAAGCCAGCTGACTATGAGACAGATAGATGGAACCTTTGTGCACTCCTTAAGATTGGCATGATTTTACATGTGTTTTGTTATCTCTATTTTTTTTCTCCTTAAAATCTGTGTGTGCTCTGGCCGGATAAAGAATCTTCTTTTATAAAGTAGCAAGGTCACCGCAAGGGTGGAAAATATAGGTAAGAACACAAAATGTACATTATAGAAAACTACGAATAAGTATTTTTTAACAATTTAATCTTGAAAAACTGAGGGTGCTACTTGATGATAATCTGTCTCGATGTTTCTGTTCTATCTGACAGACTACCGTGAGGCCATTCTGACAATAACTGCTCCTCTTGACGATCTACTAGTCTACTACAATCCACAGCCTTGATCCTAACATAACAATGAATAGAAACAGTAGGGTTTTTGTTTTGTTTTGTTTTGTTTTGTTTTTCTTTGGGTTTTTTAGGAGGGAAGGGTATGTTACTGTCATGTAATTAAATGAATGAAAAATGTGAAAAGAACAAAAAACACAAACAAATAACAACAAAAAAACGAAATGTGGCAAGGCTCATGAAACCCAATATCATTCCCAATTACGTGAATTTGATAAGTAGACGTAATTAGTTTCAGTGTTGAAAAGAGAACTGCTGTTATTGTGAACCGGCAGCCGTCTCATGAGACACCAACTGGCTGCGTTGAAATGGAGGCAATTTGAGCCAAAAAGGCCTCTGTTGTCCCGGCAGTCAGCAATGAAACAAGAATGAAAGTATAAAGTGTTCAACATTATGATGAGAAAGATGCAATATCATATGGTTTAATCTTAATGGAGTCTTAACTTTTAAAAAATAACACCCAGAAAAATCTTCACATACCGGCTTAAAGAAAGATTATATTGTTTTACCAGGCATGCCTGAGTTAGCTCGTCAAATCATCAAACGTTATCCTTCGATTGTAATCCTTTTTAGCGAAAGCATTATCTGAAGCTTCGGTTTCAGAAAAAAATACGCGTGGAGATGGGGCTGGGGTAGAGTAAGGGGAAGGAACGGGATAGGGATGAAGGTGGGAAATTCATGTCGTTTAACTGTACTCTCATGTTGCATTTGAAATCAAACAAGGAGAATTGTTGGATTTTTAAATGTTTCTTCTGTCTTCCTTTTTAAGAGGATGTTGTGGGAGTCGTGTGAGAATATATGTGTTGGCCTATGTTAAATACAGTGTTGTGTGGGGGCTTGCACGTGTGTGTGTGTGTGTGTGTGTGTTTTGTGTGTGTGTGTGTGTGTGTGTGTGTGTGTGTGTGTGTGTGTGTGTTCTCTAGAGCATTTACACGTGAGAACTTTTTTGGTCGTTTTTCAGTGTGGTTGTGTTAAACTATTATTACATTTGCATGCTAATTTAACATACAAATAAACAGAAAGATCGCTATAACGTGTACTCTGTTATGCTTTCGACATTTCTTGCGAGTCTATTTTTTGCTCCACATTTTTCTTAACCCAAGAGACATTTCTGTCTTTTTTTTCTCTAGCACTCACGACCTCATTAATCCCCACGGGTATACGTTGACCTTCTACAGCCGTCTAGAGGATGTTGCTATTTTCTCTGGATTTCCGACTCCGAGGAAAGATGACAACTCAAATCTCCACCGAAGCCAACACGTCACGCTAAACCCTCAGAGAATGGCAGCTCCACATGCACGTGTTGGCTTGCCTCCTCTGATCTCTGCATACATGATTCAATACATCAAAGACCAGTTCTTCGCCAGTGTTCGCATGAAAATTGCACTGATAATATCATATTTCGCTTCAGCCATCTATGGACCGATTTCAACAGAGTGCAATATTTTTGTCTTGTTCAGGCATGTCACGGTTGTTCAGTAAGTAAATAACGTGTCCAACACACAGTTGGATGTGGTTCAACCCCAACAAGGTCTGTTCTTGTTTTCTTTTTTCCCCTTGAACTTCCACGAATATTTCTTGTAAGTCCAAAATCCCTCTGTAGAATAAATTGCAACATCTTTGCTAAAACTAAGAAAACAAATCTTGTTTTTCACTTTGATTCTGGCCTTACTTCAAGACTTCGTTGTTTTGTTTTGTTTCTTTTTTCTTCTTGTACGTATTCTTAACCTTACTCAGGGCTAAAAGAGTGTTTGATACGGTTTTCAACTATTAATTGTTTATAATATTATGTATTTTTTTGCCTGGACTGATCTCTTGGTCCACGGGTCGGTTCAAAAGACGGATTCTAGACCCGTAGTATAATAAATAAGGAGAAAAGATGACATCACACCCATTGATCCACCTCGTATTTCACTACGTGGTTGTGGCATCGCACCATGAGGGAGCTGCGAAACCCTTGTCTTGGGACCGTACCTGATTGACACCCGCTTGTGGTATCTTCAACACTCATTAAACGTATTCAGGCACAATTTAATAATTTATTTTTATGAGATGTGTATGCTCACGTGCAGGAAAACAAATAAAATTCATAAACAGACAGTTCTTTGTTCCGCTGTTTGTGTTAGTTTTTCTTATCACTCACTGCGAGTCCAAATGTGTTTTTCATGTACAAAAGAACGTTGTTTACCCCTGACGTAATTTTTTTCTTCCGATTTTTTGCATTTTTCGGGGAGAGTGTATTATTATCTTTCTGTCTTCCTCTCCGTATTATTGTTCATATATATGTGCCATGAGATGAAAGAAAGGAAAAAACGAATCCTACAGTAACAACCTTAATGTGACTCATCAAAATGTTGTCAACCCGTGCAGCATAACAAGCACTTACTACCCCGACCAGTAATGACTGTGTTCATGAGTATGCAAAGTTCTGAGTCAGCGTATCCCCATTTTTGCTTACGATCACGATCGAGATGAAGCCCGCTTGTAGCTCATGCAAAACCAAAACTTTGTTCTCAGAGTCTGTTAATTAGGTTCAGGGTATAAACAAATCGTCCGGTAAAATAGAATACCATTTACAATACTGTAAAAACAACAATCCATAATCTTGCCAAGAAGGAATTCAAAGCGCTTGAGCCAGCCTTTGGACCAGACTGCGGTTGTAGTAGTAATGCCCTGTTGGCTTGGGAGACACAATTCCACTATATATCGCCTCAACAACACCAAACAACTCGCCTTCAGCACTAGCAACAGTCCAAGAATTGGCTCGACAAGACGTGGATCTCAAGAACAACAGATAATATTGGTGAATTCTGTGTCCACAAGCGTGAGATCTGTTTGCACCAAAGAGGTTATATAATATAATACTAGAATGTATTGGTCATGTCTCGCTTTTTGAGGCATCAAGGAAGTCAAGTTCTGAAAGGGAGTACGAGAGCAATCTACTTCCTTTATGTCTACTTTCCAAGCAGAAATGTAGCATTAATACTGTTTTAAGATCGCCTGCCAAGACGTAGAAGGCCTTACCGTACTTAATAGTCTTGTTCCAATCTTTTGGAAAGTACTGATGACTTCGTACTGTCTGCCCAGCTAACTATTTCGTTTGACCCATAAGACCCCAAAAGGTCAATGAATGTACAATCTCGTAGCCTGGGGACAGTCAGTATTACTGATAATGGCGTCGTTTCAAAATGTGTGAGTTTAGTCTACATCACTGCCATTGTTATTGCAGCCTGCTGTTTTTGTCTTTTGTTTTGTTTTTGTTGTTGTTGCTGACACTGTTGTTCTTTCAATTGCTGTTGTCGTTGTTGCCATATTTGGTGTTGCTGTTGTTACTGTTAGTAGCAGTGGTGGTGGTAGATCTAGCAGGGGTGGTGGCGGTTGTACATAATATTATGTTGTCTTTCCTTTTCGCTCTTCTGCAATTCCTACAGTTTTGTCCAATAAACTGCTGCTATTTTAGTCAGTTTTCATATTCAGCTCGGTAGACATTTTCAAGAAACAGAACATATAAATCTCGGATTTATTATCTCCCACAGTCGGCGGTCCATGGGCAATCTACAAGATGTTTAAAAGTAGTGTGACAACTAAGTTGTTGATAACAATCAGAATGTGTACACATTATTGTTCTTTTATAAGAACACGAAGAAGTTATGGTGGGTAGTTGGTGGGTGCTCTGGTATGGTTCGCATCTTTTGCCCTATATCAAACGTAATTATTATATTGTCCGTATCTCTTCTCCTTTATAGTTTATCACTCTCTTATAACACCTCTAATCTTCGGCACCTATACGACCTAATTGTGTTGCAAGTGCCGTAAAACTCTTACTAAAATAAAATTCAGATAAAACACACAAAAATCCAAACAGTTAGGACTGAAATGTAAGAAAAACATGAGTAAGAAAGGATTTTTTAAAAATCAGCATTTGAAAAAGTAAGGCAAAGAGAAGTCGAAAAAAAGAAACGGGCGGGAGGATATTATAAAGTTGTTCTCAGTATGGATATATAGTAATGTATCCGTCTTAAAGAAGAAGAAAAAAATGATAATGCACTTGAAAGCTACGAATATTTTCTGCTTGTCAACAGATGTCAAAGATTTTTAGATAACGAACCTGAATCGATATAAATCTAGTAAACTTAACCTCTCACTCTGGCGTATAATATTATTTTTCCTAAGAAGTCTGTCATTATTCTTCATCGGTTCCCTTCATAAAGCAGACTTAATAGAGGCGCCGTTTGCTCCATGCTCCAGATGTGAGCGGCCGCCTGTGGGATCTCCACTCACGTCTTATCTCCCCACCCCTGTCTCCCCCCATCCCGTCCTTATCAGCTAGCCTCTCAACGCAGCTGTACGTTATACGGCTTTGGCGAAACCGCCCCCGTTTTTGTTTTTTGTTTGGTTGGGGGGGTTTTTGGGAGGGGGGACTTTTTTAGGGGAAATATTATCGTTTTTGTCGGCTCTCCAGAAAACTGCTTTCTGGAATGTTGATATTATACAAATTTCTTTTTTTTTAAATTCCTTGTCATACCCCCTTTCTGTCCATCTTCCCTCTTATATCGTTCATTGGCTCTGTGGGGGTGTATGAGTTCCATTTAGACAGAGTGGGTGTTAATTTTCAGATGCAAAACGTGCTGCGGAGAGCACGATTTCTGAAAGGATTAGGCTGAGGTTATTTAGATAATACACGAATCTTCGCCACAACATGTCAAAAGAACAGTATCTCCGCGTATGTTATTTCTCTTCTGTGGAGGTGTCGGTCCAAGGTTTGGTAGCGTTGCTTTAGGATCATCCATCAAATACGTGAAGTGTTGATTATGATATCTTGAGGGGAGTAGAGACCAGTGTCTAGGGAGGTGGTTTCAAGGTTGCACTTAATCTACTTTTAGGTGGTTTCAAGGGGTGGTTTTAAGATTGCACTACATTTACTCTCTTTTTTTTAGGAAGCCAGTTGAAATACGTGTGGCACTTTTAATTTCTTTGGAACTCAGTCTGTGAAGTGAGCAGTTTTTTTCTTAATCGGGGACGCTTTCTTATAATATCGGTACTACATCTGTATTATTTCTCATTCTGATTTTTCAGTACCATTGATGATGTACAATTAAGTTTCATAAAAAGTGCACTATCACGTAAAGAGTAAAACATAGTAATTTATTAAGACAGTATGCAAAAGGTTCTTTTTTATAATCCGGGGACAAATAGAAGTGAAGAATATTATTGCATATGAGAAAATGAACGATTGTGATGGAAAAGAGCTTAATATTCCAGTTCTAAATCTTCACCGACAATATCTTTAGGAAAACATCATCTTTGATAGCTAAGGTCTGCTCTTAAATTTTTCTTTAAATGTAAGTGTTTTACGCCCCCATCGACATTATTTAGATCATTAAGGAGGCAGACTTTGACCCTACTACACACGGCCAACCCGTGGTTAGGGGTCCCCAACGTCCCAGCAGACAGGCCAAGGTATTCGGCAAAAATTCTCCATGAGACGGAAAATGCGTGATTTTATAAAGGCCATTGATATTTATACAAAGATGCGAATATAACAATTTCATTGTAATGTAAATTGTTATTTTTTTTTAAAGGTTGAAATTTGTGCCTTAAAATATTTAACCATTTATCTGATCATTGACCAAAAGCGAAGCCGTGATGTGATCTGTTGTGAATGCAATCAACTTATGTTTCGCGTCCTCATATGACTGTATGCAGTTGCGAGCGCCGTAAAACTCTTTACTAAACTAAAGTTAACGCTGGAGAATACAACTCACGCCGTCTGCGAACAACGGTGAAAAGCGCAACCGGTACACCACTGCTCACTGACACCAGTTAAGTAAATCAAAGCCAGTAGTTATTGTTATTATCTCTAATATAACCTGCTTCTAGTACCCTAATGTGAGTTTTGTCCACCGCATTATAGTTACCATCTCCTTTCTTGTGACTGGCGAAGAACCGAAAAATGAGCTTGTAAGGGGGGCGGGAGGGGGGTGAGGATATAAATTATATTAAATTATTTTTCATACCCCTTAGATATTATACTCTACTTAATGTAATCAGTTCGCTAGTGGACCGAATAATTTACTCGCTAGCTTCATTACACAGTTTAATATATGGTCCAAAAATATCGCTTGTCAGACAAACTACCCAGACTTTGGGTATGAGAACGCCATCACTGCAATTTCCGAGTAACTGCAGCTCCTAGATGGAGTTACTGTCCTTTGATTTCCCTTCCCAAACTTGTATCAGGGCCTGTCTGACACTCATCAAAGTAGGAAAGTGTTTCATTAACGGGGATGTTAGAGAGCTGGGGGAAATAGGGCGTTAGAGACAGACAGACAGACAGACAGACAGACAGACAGACAGACAGACAGACAGACAGACAGACAGACAGACAGACAGACAGAGACAAAGACAGGGACAGAGAGACAAACAGACAGACAAACAAGACAAACAGACAGAGAATGGAGGGAGAAAGAGGGGGAGAGGGAGAGAGAGAGAGAGAGAGAGAGAGAGAGAGAGAGAGAGAGGGAGGGAGAGAGAGAGAGAAAGAGAGACAGAAACAGAGCCAGAGAGAGACAGAGAGACAGACAGAGACAGAGAGAGAGACAGAGACAAAGACACAGAGAGACAGAGACAAAGACACAGAGAGACAGAGAAAGAGAGACACAGAGAGAGAGAGAAAGAGAGACACAGAGAGAGAGACACAGAGAGAGGGAGAGAGAGAGAGAGAGAGAGAGAGAGAGAGAGAGAGAGAGAGAGAGAGAGAGAGAGAGAGAGAGAACTGGTAGGGGGGAAACATGTCATGGGTCTAATATTAACCAGTTCAACACACTCATTGATTTAATATTTACTTCTGGTAGAACATAATTTTATTCCATTGAGTGGACAACCATTTACAGAGACCCAATAATAGAAAAAGAGAAGGAGAGTGAGAGTGAAAGAGAGAGTGAGAGGTAGGGGTCAGAGACGGAAGACATAGAGAGAGGAGGGCGGAGACAGAGTGAAAGGGATTGAGTGAATGAAGAAGGAAGTAGGCCAGGTCGGCCGCTGATATTCTACTGGCTGACCACCAAAACTATCTTGTCGTGATTCAGGGTTCAAATCTCAGT